ATCCCCAAGGCTCCTGAATGACGCAAGCCAAGAACTTCTGGGTTCTGGACCTCAATAAAAGGATGTATAAGTGCATGCCTGGATTGCTCTTCTGCTTTTGTTTCTTATGTTTAGTAAAATAGTCACAGCATTAAATTGTCTGCGAAAATTAATACAAGTCACAGACTGTCCCTAGCACTGTGCAATGATTACTACATGAATAATCCTAATGAATTAACAGTAATTAAAAATAATAGTGGATAAAAGGCTTCAGAACACTTGTACCACAGCAGTATGGAAAACCACAAAAGCAAAAATTAAATCATATACAAATCTATTAATGTCTTTATTTTATATAAATAAAAAGCATAACGTTTTATTTAAGTATTTATGCCAGCTTGAGTCATGCAGAGCTGAGCTGATCATTTCCATAGCAACAATCAGAAGCAAGACGTTGCGCCAGAAGTCCAGTGAGCTCACTGATGAGGTCATTGATTACATCATGTACATCACAGTAGATCAAAGAAGTTCTAATGCTTGAATCCTGGCATCTCTAAGCATCAATCAGGATCCAGACAGTTCTTGGAGATTCAGATTTGTGTAGAGCAACAATATTTAGTTTTGCGAAGGCGCTTGTTCCCCTGACATTCCCGGTTGGTTGGGGCATTGGATATGCCGTGAGTACTGGGATGAAGAAAGTGTGTGATCGTTTCTTTCCAGGGAAGGATTCCAACAAAGGTTACGATCAGGATGATGAGGACGATCTGTTTTGGAAAGGATTTCCATCCAGTGCCAAAGAACAAACCGACCCGGCTGGGGAGGTTTGTTGGATGTCTGTGAGACCTCGAGGCGAGCTCTATCTCATCCTCTGCACAGGACAGTACAGAGGATGACGGTACTGTCTCTGGACAAACCGACCTGGCTGGGGAAGTTTGTTTGAAGACGACGGTACACCGTGAGGGTGAGAGTACAGTCACAGAAAAATCCAACCCGGCTGGGGAAGATTTTTCTGTGGCTGATCTCGCACCCAAAGCTATGGCGGAAGTGACAGCACAAGCTTTGGTTTTGCTGGTTCCATCGCTTTCCTTAAAGAAGAGTTCTCTGAAGGGCACTTTCACAGGCGCCTTTGAAATATAAAAGTTCCCCGGAGGGGGAACATATTTCAGATGACAACAGAGTTGCTCAATTGTCCAAAAAACCATCTCTAAATGCAAAGATTTCTGTTGTTGTCGAGGTTTCCTGTTCTCCTGAAGTTAATTCAGTAGATAGCGTTGGCTGAGATATCCCAGATGTAGGGAGGACAGCAGCTGCAGGACAAGGACAAGCGGAGGAGAACTTTTTCAAGTTCTCCAATGAACTCCACAACAGCTGGGTGATCGCTGCATTCCAGAGCATCCTAAACCTGAGTGTCACCAAGCGGTGTCTCGCTCAGGAAAGGGTTTTTCTGGAGGCATCGTCCATTCCCTGCTGTGGCGGTCTCATGCTCTCAGCTGTCCGTCAGCCCAGCAAGCATTTTTGTCAAAAAGACCTTTCCCCAGTTCTGATGGAGCTGAGAGAGAAGAAGCTGCCGTCCGACGTGGGAAAGGACTATGACATCAAATGTTTGCTGGAATCTGTGCTGGTCTGGTTGGACTCTTTTGGCGGTGACACAGAGAGTTGTACAACAAAGACTCTTGCTCTAACTGTGGAGCCACCTCTCTTGACCTCCTGAACAAAGGCCCCCTGGTTGCCCTTCCACTGGTGATGTTTTCAACCAGCATATTTTCACTTTTTAATATATGGTTGGATTTGGGGTGCAAATGCCACTGTTCAGGCTGCAGATCACCTTGGCAGAAAAAACACTGTCTGGCCGATAACAAGGTGCTGGTGTTTTTTCTGCATAGGTTAACCAGGACACACCAAATAGAAGCCAATCAGACCATAGGTGTGCCTGCAGAATGTGGAACGGAGAGGTACCACCTGTCCTCCGTTATCTGTGGGGATCCAAAGCTAACAGACTTCCCCTGTTATTTAATGAAAGGAGAAAAAACAGTGAAGGCAGACAACGAGCATGTCTTCACTGCTGCAGACAGGGACTGCAGTGAAGATATGTCCCAGAACGGTTTGATTTACATTTATGAGAAATTATCTGACACCAGATGTTGCAGTTTCTCCAGCCCCTCCTCTGGAAGATGGAGCTAAAAATATTAAATTCAGAAGAAGAAAAAAATCCTAGAAGGCCTAATTAGTAACCATTTTGATGTTGGAGAAATCTGATTGGGATCAAACGTGTCTGACTTAAATTTATGGGACAAAAGAGTAAAAAGATTTGACAGGTTTCCTGTTTGCAGGACGCTCCAGCTTCCTGCCACAGTCTGAAATCTCCACTGAACCCTGGACCCCTGGAGGCGGGTCCGGCGGGCGGCGCCGGTGCAGGGGGCCCAGTCTTCTGGTCGCCGTATTTCTGCTAGCTGTTTTTCCGTTTGCTGTTTTTCTGCTACATCGTTATGTTAATGAGGAGAGCTGCCTTCTATGTCTACTATTGGCCAATAGAGCTTTGGAACCAACGTCACTGCGTCAGACGTTGTGGGGCGTTTAGGTGCAGTCGGCCTCAGACCAAAACAAACTTTATCCCGGTGGTTTTATTGTGTTACCGAATGCAGTGAAGTGAACCTCCGAGCGCTTGAGGAGGGAACTAGAGAACGGCTGGCCGAAATTAGCGTTCATAAATCAAATCAACCTTGAGCAAAACGCTGCTTGCTTGGCGGATATTGGAAAATCCAATATCCAGCTCGAAACTAACAACTTCACTGTAGCAGTGAATTGCAACAACAGATTATTGAGTTCAATGCCCCCTGGTGTTGGTGGAAATTTCTAGAGTCGGTAGACGTCATCAATTTGGCTCTGGAAAGCTCCGCCCACCTCCTTTTCTCCAAGCAACAAGACAAACGGTTATTTAGACGCCATTTTCCTCCCACTCAAATGACTGTGGTAAGTTTCTTAGTGTAAGATAATAACGCCATTTTATGTTGTAATTTAAACAGCAATTGTTTTGGAAGAACGTTGTTTTTTAAGCCCTCGTTTGAGTGAGCTTTGATGTCTTAATGCACTAATTATTTAATCATTTATAAAACTTAGCATTTTAAACTGCTAACCTGACCCACCGAATGCCTAGCTTAAAATGTATTCCTGTCCAATACAGGAATACATTTCTGTATTCCTGTATTGGAATACAGAAATGTATTCTCTATTCCAATACAGAATACATTTCTGTATGTATTCCAATACATACAAAATATTATGACATATTCTAGTCATAATATGGCTAGAATATGTATTTTAACCTTAAATACATATTCTAGCCATATTATGTAGTTTTTTTAATATTATTATTTGTTTGTTTTTAAAGAAACATAGCCACAGTTTTTTTTGTTTGGTTAGTTGTTTTATCTGGGTGATCATCAACATTTGACAATAGTCTTCTCTGTATGTAAGGTCTAGATTTTTTGATTTGAGTTGTAGGTTCATAACTGATTTAACTTTTTCTTTTCACGTGTTTATGATCTTATTTGGATTTTTTTTCTTCATACTCTCTGGATGTGCCTGATGTGCAAACTAACGCCAATTCAAGATATAGTCTTTCCATCTCATCTTCATGTTGGTTTATAAAAATAAATATGTCAGTTTCCTCATTAATTGCGCCCATGTAATGTGAGTCATTGTGTAAGTGGGATGTTGAGCTCCGTCCTCTTACGTCAGGTGACTCTCTTGTGCGCAGGTATTGTGACTAACAAAGCTGTATCATCTGAAAAGCACTTTATTTTTTACCAAATTACATGCATCTTGTTGTTCAGGCAAAAGATCACGTCATGCATTTATTTGGATCTTCTGCTGCTGTCCTAGTCAGCATACTTCCATGTCCAGGATTTATATATTAACTCAGTCTAACTGTATCCCCACTGAGCAAAAACTGATTGGAATGTAAAGAAAAAATGGCTTTACTTTCTGTGTTTAACAATTGTCCAGTGGGTGTTAGTGGCCAGAGTCCTTCATCTTTCTCTCTGATTTCTAAGTTCTTAGTTGGAAATAAACCAAAGAAGCCCCTGAAGTTTGAGAGTTTTAAGGATCTCCAAGGAACCTTAAGTTCAACATCCAATAGGAATGAATGATAAATGTTCTGTATTTTATTTTATCTGGTTAAAGAGATGAAATAGAGAGAAATACATTAAAGGATTGTAGTGAAAATCTCCTGTTTCTTCTTATGTAATCAAAATCAATCAATAAATTCTAAGGTTCATCAGATTGCTTTTAATCTTTAACTATCACACTAACATCATTTAAAATAACTACTGCTGGTGAAAGGTGAAAAGATAAAGTAGAATATGGATTAATTGTTGCATTCATAATGTAGAAATGACCAAATGAAGATATGAACTAACGTCTAAATGTGATTTAAATGTTAGCTCTTGTGGCCTAAATTAGCATCTAAAAGACAGTTCAGCCCTACTGAACCAAATTACATGCATTTGATGATGCATGTAATTTGATTCATGTAATGATGTGATGATGATCATCATCATCATCATTTTTGTTTTGGTTGAATTTGGGCAGGACTTGAAGGCTAAAAAAAAGTCTGATTTACAACACAGTTTCTGAGTCAAGAACAATGATTGGCTGAAATAAAATAGCAGACATAAAGCCATTGTTTTCATTTTATCCCAAAACCTGTGATGTTAGTTATTTGTTTTTAACCAGCAGATAAAAATCATCTGAGGTATCAGTGGCCTACTTGTTCTCTCTGCTGAATTAGCCTACTTTGCCCTGCAGGCTTCATCCCACATAGATGACCCTCTTTTTTTTTTTTTTTCTACTTCCCTGCTGAGGCCTGCAGCTCCTCCTTCCCACACAGCACAGAACCCACGCAAAGTTTATTTCTTTTTTTTTTTTTTTTTTTTTTTAAATTTTGCCAGCTCTAGAGCTGGTGTGTATGTGTGTGTGCAGGAGGATCCACAGGGAGGAGCATATGTTGAACAGTGCCAGGTGGACGCGATCGGTGCCCACTCAGGGATCCAAAGCTGGACATGGATACTGAAACAATATGGCGTCATGATGGAGCTCAAATAGGTCAGTAGGGAGAAGGTTCAGTGAAACTATTCTGAAATCAACTCAGTCCCTAATTTTCTGATTGAAAAAAAAATATACATTAACAAAGAAAGCAAATTAGTCCCTAATGGTTTTTTAGATTTATTAAAGTGGTCCACTGGTTTCTGGTACATTCACTATAAAACAACACCATAGAGAACACATAAATATCGCATATTCTTGGTGTGAAACAATGTTTTGCATTTTCCATGTGTTGACATTTAAAAATGCATTGCAATAGCTCACAAGGATGCAGTGTGGGCACATCTTCAGAACAGTGAGCACACAAGCAAGAAGTCAACAGCAACCACGTGTCCAAATAATAATAATATTAACAATAGTCCCATTGATCCCATTGAACAGGAGCCGGCTGCCGTCACATGTGAAATACTCCTCTAATCTAGAAAAGTTGGCCAAAAAGCTCTTTCAGAGCAAGTTGCTTGTTTTGAAGAATCACATGTAATAAATCACAACTGGGCGATATTTACAACATGTGCGTACATGTTTCTTAAAAAGTTCACTCCACCAATGAGCTACAGACATCTACTCAATACTATCCAAATATCATTTGAGAAGGTCTCAGCTCCACTGTTGCTTCGTAAAAAGTTCACGTAAAGTACTTTTTTTTGGTACTTCTATCCATTTTACAGGGTTAGTTTGACTCATTTTCTCAGTCATCACCCACAATTCTGTCAATATTTGGTCTTTCTTTTGAGCTTACTATGAATAAGAAAAAAACTAAAACATAATATATATATTATTCTATAGCCAGTTTCTACAGTGCCTTGCATACTTATTGAACCTTCTCATCTTTTGTCTCGTTACAACTTAAAACCTTTTTGTGTTTCATTGTGATTTTACTCCACAGAACGACAAAGTAATGCATGATTGTGAACTGAAATGAAAATGTTGCATGGTTTTCAGAATTTTCTATAAATAAGAATCTGCCAAAAAACAGAACAAACAAACCCACACCATGTTCCATCATACGGATGGTTAATTCAGAGGGTGTTAGTTGTTTTTTCTTCATTCTCCGGCCCAAACAACTGGATCTGTTTGTAAAACATTCTAACCATGTATTATTTTTGTTTTTATGATTTGGCACTACTTTTTGTTTGGTGTATGCAAGGCAGAATACACCAAACAGAATAAAGTAGAGTAAAAAGAAGCAATGATCAGCTAAGCTGCAAGTTTGTGCAAGATGTTACACCATTAGTTAAAAACTGGGAAGAAAAAAAGTTGAAGTGATATCAACTGATGATGCAAATTTTTATATAACCCTGTTATGTCCGTGCAAAATTGCAAAGCTTATTTTACACTTTTACTGTCTTGAGACATGATCTTCATCTCCAGACCGAATCCTTTAGCCTTCCTTATTTAGGTTTATTCAAGTTTATGTGGCAGTGTTTTTTTTTCCTTGCTAAATGTTTCTTCTGCAAAATAGAAAGCAGGGCTGGTATTGATTAGATTCGAAGAATATCCATGTATTCAAAGTGAATGAACATAAGATCATTTGAGTGGGAGAGCAGATCAGATCATTCTCTGGAGAAACCCATTCTTGGTTACAGTTACATAAAGACTCTGTGTGTAAATAAACCTCAGTATTTGACAAAGTAGGTACAAATGATACAGCCTCATTTATATGTGTGCTCCACTCTGACAACCGCGTCCCGTTTCAACCTGTGCCTGACGTGAGCGGAGCCGTGTTTAGCCGAGCCTTGCTGGTGGTTACATTTAATCGTCTCCCAAAGGTAAAAAAAAATGTGCTCTTCACATTTTTTACAGCAGCTCCTCGCTTCAGTGAAGTTCATGATGGAACGCACCTGCGACCTTATTCTGCTTTTTAATTATTCCAGCTAGACCCAAGAGTCTCGGCCTCAAAGGGCCTCAGCCAGGTGACGGTCTGTGCCTTCGCTTGCTTCCAGCCGCACCTGTCGACTGGTCTTTCTGGTCTCCACCCAGGAGTTGTGGATCACCGTTCCCCCTGGGGACGGGTCCACCTGAAGCAGAGACACCACCCTCTTCTTCACTTTGGCACGAAGGGCGCGGCGCAGTTTCTGTCGGGTGAAGGCATAGAGCAACGGGTGGGAGACAGTGGTGCCATAAGCGAGGGCCAGGAACCAGAGCCGCAGGCTGACCAGGACGTCACTGGGGCCGATGCTTAGTATGAGTATGTTGGTCACGGAAAGAGGAGCCCAACAGCACAGGAAGGTCGTGATGATGATGAGGGACATCTTGAACACCCGTTTTTGTCGTTCTCGACGATCTCGATGGCGTCTCACTGCCCGACGCAGCGCTATTATCGCCGAGACAGAGGCCTGGACGCCCATGGTGGTCGGCAGGGCAGTGGCAGCACCCGCCTCAGAGGCGATGAGAGGAGCGGCGGAGGACTGGGCGGGGGGAGAGGTAGCTGTTGGGGTTGGAGACTGGGAAGGAATGAGTGGTGGGTGGCTGAGCTGTTTAGTACCATCTGTGGTGCACTGTTCCCCTCCTGCCTCTTCGTCATTCCTCCTGAGTCCCACCTTCCTCTCTTTCTGCCTCTTGTGGTGCCCCCTTCTCCGCTGGCTCTTCCTCATGTGGGAGCCGATGCGGATGTTCAGAGCCCTCAGTATTCTGGAGTAGGTGAACAACATGACCACCACGGTGACGAAGAAGATGGGCACCTGAAGTATGAGATGATAATACATTCCCAGACCTGTGTAATAGCCCTGACCACCGACACATAGAAGGGTCCTGTTCCGCCATGCTGGCACAGCTGTTCCGCCAATACCAACTGAGGAGGTCACCTGACTTGTTTCCTCTGCTTCTGATGCACCGGACCACTGGACCTCCAAGAAAGGCATGAAAAACACTGCAACCGACGTGATCCAGACGGCAGTAAGGAGCAGCGCCGCTCTCCGTGTTGTCAGCAGTCTGTTGGCAGGACGTACCGAGATGTCGTAGCGGTCCAGGCTGATGACCAGGATGTTGATGGCCGTGGCGATGCTGGCGAATGTGACACAAGCCTCGTGGAAGCAGCAGAGCAAGGCCAGGTTGGGTCCTGGCGGCAGCAGCACCACCACCAGAGTGAGCGGCACACACAGCAAGCACACCGCTATGTCCAACACGTGCAGATTGACCGTCACCATGTTGCTCACAGAGTCCACCAAATTAGACTGTGAGCAGTAGAGCACCAGCACTGTCAGGTTGCTACTGAACCCCAGTACCAGCTCGAGCATGAGGAAGGCTGTGAGCGACACCTGGAAGCCCAGTGAGTACGGCATGTGCCAGGTCACACCACTGACTGGTGAGGCATCTCCTCCCTGATCCTGATGGGCCTCCGTAACCTCCAGGCCTGCTGGCATCCCCATCCAGTCAGTGGTGGCCGGGCCTGCGGTATAGCTGTCAGTCTCCATGTCGACCCTTCAGTCCTTGTCGTGTGTTGTGTCTGTTCCACTGCAGATTAGTTCCCATGATGCACCGGCCCGATCCTCCATGGTAAGGTGGTGAAAAACAGCGTGGCGACAGTTCTGGAGAGATGAGAACACAAAACAGACCGATGAAAAATGGACTGCGTGGGACAGAATCCAAACGTCATTCCCAAAGGGTTTGAGCGTGGCTATGGACTCAAATGTCACAAGACACCCATGCATGTTGGCTAAGATATGTCAATCTCATGCATATGCACACTGATAAACCCCATCTCCTGCACAGAACAAGTTCTGAATTATGCATCAATCAACATGCTGTCAATCAGTGTCACTGATTAGCATTTTGTCTTAGCCACAGATGGGATATTGTATGCATGTTAGCTGCTAGAACCACGGGCTGCTGCAACATGCTGTACTGGAGCTCAGGGGGCACAGCCAAACTGAACAAAGGGAAGACATCAACTGCACTCAGTTCATCAACACTAACAACACTTTGAGCATAAGATATAAAATTAGCAAAGATTTGAGCTTTGCTGCTTGTGGAAAACAACATGGTTATTTAAAGCCATCTGAATCTTAAGAGGAGCTAGGTCCTTGCTATAGCTATAGCAACAGAGATTATTTCATCGACGCATCAACAACTGGAAACTTGATTCATTTGAAGGATGAAAAAGCCAAGGAGTAGTTGGAAGAAAAACAAAGGATGAACAAAGAACAAAAGATGCAGATTTGCAGTCTTCAGTGTGTTTAAGGCAGCACCCTAGAAACTTTATGGCAAAACTTACCCAATCATAGCAAGTTATTAAACATGATTGAGCAGTTAAGGTGACATATACTGTACCACGTAGAAGAAAGCAACATCCTTTGATGCATTTTTGTATGCACAAAGTAGCACAAAATTGTGAAGTGGAAGTCGAGGTTTTCTTTATGATTAACCGCCACCCATTCTCCCATCAACTCTGACCAGTTCCCTGTTTACCGAAGAAAACTGATGATGTTATGATGTAGGTCAGAGAATATTCTGACCACAGAGCTCTCTTTCACATTTTCGCCGTGTCCCCAACATGGCTTTTTGGATTTATACTGTGATATAAAATAGTCTGAGTAAAGGGGCTGAATACAAATGCCTCAGACCTTTCCTTTAAATATGTATAAAACGGGTATCTTTTTCCGGTAGCACTATATTTGAAGGGGTGTGCATAAGATTGACATGACACTGTCATAAACATGACATAACACCTGTCATGAACATAAAGAAGTTTTTCTGAATGTTTATGACAGTTGTCATGAAGTGTCATTCAGTAAATAATGCATTAAATTATAATTTCCAAAATCATGCAAAGTTGGCACTTTTAATGGACTTTTAGAGCAACTTTGCATTAAAAGTGTCATTTACCAAATGACACTTCATGACAACTGTCATAAACATTCATAAAGACTTTTTTATGTTCATGATAGGTGTTATGTCATGTTTATGACGGTGTCATGTCAATCTTATGCACACTCCTTCAAATAAAATGTTACCCTTTTTCCTTCCACTTCACAAATATGTGCTACTTGGTCTTGGTTTAT